CACACACGCACGCACGCACGCACACACACACACACACACACACACACACACACACACACCAATGTCAGTCAGCAGTGTAACCCTCGTCTTCGACGAGCTGCTTGCTGTAGCTGTAGGAATCGGGGTCATCCTCGACAATCTTTTTGCGAGGCTTGCACGTCTGTTTTTTTTTTTTTCGGCTTCGTAGCCGGAGGGACAGTCGGGTTCTTCCGAGGCCTGCCACGTGGGAGTTTCGGCCTCAGCACATCGTCGACAAGGGGCGCCTTCCTCTTCCTCCCAACCTTGCTGACCCACAGGTTGTTGTGTTGGCTTCCCTCTACGTTGCCTGGGAATTCGGGGGAATTCTTCGGTGACCCGGCAGGCTGCGTTGTTTGCTTCCGACGCTTGTACATGGTCTTCGGTGCATGCTGTTGCTGTTGCGGCTCGTCCTCGCTGTTCGCCATCTCGTCATGCTGCTGCTCCTCGCTCTCTCCCAGTCGTTCCGCATGTTGGTCGTCCAACCCCTCTTCTTGCTGGTCTTTGCCCTTCCCTTCATCTTCTTCCATCTCCTCCTCTCGCCGCTCCATGCAAGCCTCTTCTTCGTCGTCCTCCATCTCTTCTTCTTCCTGCGCCTGGTAGGCCATCTCGTGTTCTTCCTTCTCGTCTTGCTGGCCCATCTCCTCCTCTTCCTCCGCCTCTTGCTGCCCCATCTCCCACACAGGCTCCGGTTCATACTCTCCAACCTTCTTTTGTTTCTCCATTTCTCTACGGGTTGGTATAGCTGCTCGCCGCTCCTCCTCCTCTCTCATTCTCCTTAGCACCTGTTCGCGATCCGCATCAGCCATGGCCTTCGCACGATCGGCCTCCGCCTCATCCGCGTCGATTGAACCTTGGCGAAGCACCATGTCAATGTCGGTGTCCGTCTGCGGTAGCTCAACATCGGATTGGATGTTGTACTGTGCACTTGTATTCGCCGCCCCTTGAGATGGCGTTGTGGGCGGGCGTTGTCGACGGCGCCGTGTTGTTGGCCTCCTCCCAACATATGTGGTGCCCGGGATTGAGGGTCGCGCTCCGAGCTCAAAATCATCGTCGGGCGAGTCTTCTGCCTCCCCTTCGCTAGACGTTTCAAACCATGGAGCCTTTCCCTTTCATATCTCGTCATCCAAATCGCTGTCGTCCGTGTGCTCCTCTTCATCTTCTTCGAGGTTCTTCGGAATCCGACCCTTTGGTAACTTGATGAAGGCCCGTTACCGCGCCTGTTCCTCCTCCGTTTTCCCCTTCTCCTCCTCGGGCTCCTCCAAAGAGGATCATCGCCCTCCTCCGCATCCGGAAGAGACTCGAAGAACTCCGCCCACAAATCGACATAGTGATGGTCCTTTAAGTTCTTGCTCGCCCCCAACAAATTAATATTCCAATGAATGTGCACAAGCTTTTCCACGGTCGCGAGCTTCAACGGATTCCGTCGCTTGGAGTGCACCAAGTCCATCGAGGACCAATTACGCTCCGTCGAAGTTGCAGTGCTCCACATGCCCATCACTTTGATAGCAATGGCCTGCAACTTCAACACATCACCACCATGTGTTGCCCACCACTTCGACGGCGAGATGCAATCAGCATCCGTGACCCCATCCTCATCCCACATCTTCATGTCCTTCCGCTTGGGGTCGTGTGCGGTGGGTTGATTGTGGAACTCGCGTAGGTCACTCAATATCCCCACGTGCGCCTTGGACTTCCAAGGTCCGCCAATTTGCCTCTGCAAATAACGCTGCACAAGTGCGTTGTCCTGGTTCAGCAACCACTTCGGATCTCTCCTCCGCGGGTCGAGAAGAAGAGCCAGCGCGTGCACCGGTTGCCGCATCATCTTCATGCGGTCCCTCACCTTCTCTAGCACAGAACTTGTTGCTCCAGTGTGAGCACAACCTCCACCAGCATCCTCTCCATGAGTCGGTCGTATTCCACAAGGTTTGACGGTGCGGTCCCGTCCTTGTCCATCCTCCGCAGTAGGATTTACAACGACTCCATCATCTCCACCACCTTCCTTAGCTCTGTCCACCAAGCATCCCTTCGCAGTGTGAAGTACACGAGATCCGCTTTCGCTTGCAGCTGCACGCTCGACCACCGCATCGCCTTCCACTTCCCCACATTCTTTGGGTCCACCATGTCCTTCAAAACTGCCCTCCGGTTGTGTATCCGCTCCAACATCCGGTACACCGACCCGAAACGGACCTCAGTCGGTCGCAACAGAAGAAGTATAAGAAGAAGAAGAAGAAGAAGAAGAAGAAGAGAGGGGGAGGAGGAGGACGAGAGAAGAAGAAGCAGAAGAATGAGCGGAGGAGGAAAAGAAGAAGAAGAAAAAGAAGAAAAAGAAGAAGAAGAAGAAGAAGACCAGCACTCCACGTCGACGGGCAGCAAGGGATGTCCGCAGGCAGGAGCACCACGATCGACGACGCTGGCGACGGGCGACGGGCGACGGGCGACGGGCGACACGACGAGGACGGGCGAGTGAAGCTCCCAGGCGATGGCGATGAGGGCAGCTACTTCGACGAGGGGCAGCAGCACGAACGCAGGCGGCTGGAGCAGCTATCGAGGCCCCGTTTGGACAGCCAATGCAGGCCGCCCCAGCCACTCGCTAGTTCAAACGGGGCCTCTGTTTCCCTCAAAAAAATGAACTGCCCTCTGGTCGTCGATCATGGATGATCGACGGCCAGAGGGCCGTCCCAAATTCAAGAAGAAAAAAAAACGGGCCTCACAGGCCTGACGCGCCGTTTTCTCTGCGTGGTCGGACCCAGCAGGCCCTGGGGAGGCCAAAACCACCCGATGTGGGGTCGGAAACCGCCCGCCAACAAGGTGTGCTGGGGGTGCCCGGCCCCCAACTGGGCCGCCCGCCCAGTTAGGCCGCCCGGGACCTCCCCCGGGCGGGCATCGGTCAGTCGGGCGGCCCGGATCCGTACTCAGGATATAACTCTATAGTGTGTAGTTCAGACTTCTCGTCCTTGAGTTTGACAATTTTATCTTTGAACCTTACCTTTGGGTCGGCTTCCTCGTGCCAATCCATTCTGAAAATTATATCAAATGGCAGATTTTTTTCTATTAGGAAGAATATCTCGTGTAAGATTTTCTTTCCTTCCTTAATCCTGAAATGACACTTAACACAATCAACGTATTGAGAGACAGTAATCGTGCTCTTGTCAGTCAGCATAGACGTGATAGGTCGAGGTAAATCTTTTAACCTTCATTCCCAGGTGCAATTTTCGAATTGCCTTCTCTGAGATGTAAGACCGCGCCGATCATGGATCTAACAATGCACCAACTCGCGTGTGCGCAATCTCAATTTCTGCAATCATTAACTCACCCTTAGACTTAGCTTTCTTCGCCCACGAACTCCGAAGTGCTATGAGTTCATTGTCGAGCTCGTCAAGGGAATCGTCCAGTGAGATAGAACAAAGTACAGTGTCAGGGTGTTCTGGACGACGGGCGGAAGAAGAATCATCCTCTGCCTTGAGAGTCGAAAGGTTAGAAGAGGTTGTAGGCGCCTTACCTTTGTCTTCGTTTGAACCCTTCAACTCAGTAGGAGTAGATGCTACTCCTACTGGTTACTCGCTTTTGGGTTTCTGATAAGTGGGCACCAGGCTATAACATGCCCCACGGTGCCACACTTAAGGCACTGGCGATTGTCCATCTTGGACTGCCATTCCTCGCGCGTTATGTTCATCTTCTCCCAAGGTTTCCCAAACGCAATGCCCGGGTGCTCGGGAAACGAGCGTGGCCTCCTCTTCTTCTTCCACCGACTTTGGCCTCCCTTGTTGGCCATCATGACAATGACATCACCCTTCCCAAATTTATTGTCGTTGTTACCTCCTCCTCCCTCATACTCGTCGAGGGGTAACTTCTCTACGGTATCATCATCAAAAACAACTAACATGTCGTCCTCACGTTTTCGTCGCCAAAGGACTCGCTTACCTCCACCAACCGGTCCCGACTTTACCACCGAAGCATAAGACATGTTTACCTGTGCGGTCATCTGCTCTCGTTTGAGAGCGAGATCGCGAAACTGCCGATAGTTAAACTTACCAGACTTGGCTTCTGCCACGAGCTGTTCGCGAATGGGCTCGGGCAGTAAACGTGAGTATATGTACGGGACCTGATTGTCCTGCAAGTTCAACCCGAGTACCTGCAAAACACGGTCAACCTCACGCGACAAAGCATCAACCGAAGTCCAACGTTTCTGGTTGATTGTAGCGAGTTTGTCGAAGGCTTTATCGGTCATCGTGTTATCAAGAAACCTCTCCTTTATCTTTTGGAAAAATTGCTCGAGGTTCAGGGTCGTCGCCCACTCACCAATGTCTTCAAAGCCAGCGGCATTGGCTTCATCCAGCACCCATTCCTTAGCCACTCCTCCGAGACACGACGTAGAGAGAGCGACTTGACTTTCGGGCTCAACGGGTGCGGTCCCATAGCAAGTTTGTATTTTCACGATCCGCAACAACAGATTCTCGTCTTTTTTTTTGTTGTGCGTGAACGACAACTTCATCTTGAGTTTTTCCTTTTTCTTCGGTTTTTCCGCTTCCTTTACCGGTTCTTCTTTCTTAGCGGGTTCTTCTTTCTTCTCGGTCGATCTCTCAGGTTCTTTCTTAGAACTTTCATACTTCTTCGAAGTAACTCACTTCATTGAATCCTTCATTAACTTCTCCTCGGGTTTCCTTCTTGACTACCTCCCCCCTGGTCTCCTCCTCAGTTCCTACCTTGTCTTTTCCCTTTAGGAGTCTGGTTACTGTCTCTAATGAGGCAGTGTTGCGCTCAATCTTCTTCTCAAGAGACACAAGGTAGATCATGATAGACTGAAGGATGGATGCAAGCTCGCCGCCTACTTCTTCATAATGAAATTTTTGCCTTCAACCACCAGCACCTCCGAGCCTGTTTTTGCCGACCCTGAATTTCACTGCGCTCCGAGTTTTGCCAAGACTGGGTACCACTCCGTTTTCTTTCTAGTACTCTCACGGAAAGAACAAAAAAAAACAAAAAAAAAAGAAGAAAAGTTGCGGCCGTGAACCTCAGAAAAAAAAAAAAAAAAAAAGGAAGAAATAAAGTTTTGGCCGTGATTGCAGTTGTATACATTCTTGGAAGTGGTAGTGTGAATGTGCCCTCAATGAGGGCATCTCAGCCCCGTGGCCAGGTTGTCAGATTCCAAAAAGAGAATAAAAGGGGGGGAAAACGGGCACATGGATCCGGCCATGCAAATGGCTGGATACATTCCCCTAAGTGCCAGTGCGATGAACCTTACAATCCTTTGACAAAACACAGCTTGAGCAATTCACGGACAGGGGTCTCATATGAAACACACGACCAAGAAAAAAAGAAAACAGTAACATCCATAATGTGACCGCCTTACCTGTAAGGTGCATTTGTGGAGGAAGATTGTGAGCACGGCCTCCTGGACTACCCAGCCCGACATCATTGCAGTAGAGAAAGCAAATTTTTTTCCCCTTTTTCCGTTCACTTGCGGCACTATAAAATTCGGATTTATGGAACATTGCCGACCCTGTGCCCCTCCCCTCGAAAGTTCGGGTACTGGCCAAGACATAGTAATTTCCCAACGCTGGCAGAGGTACTGGTGGTTTAATTCATCCATAATTCGTTCTTCTTCTTCTTGCGCTTCTTATAGTCTTCGAAATTCCTCAATCTTTCTCCGTTCTTCTCTCAATGTGTTTTCTAGTTGCCTAACATTCTCCTCCATTATCTCAACAAACAATTGCGGTTCTACCTTCTTTTCTTTTCTTTCTTTTTTTTTCTTCCTTTCCTGTTCCATCTTGTCCAGATTCTCGGCAACATACCGGTCAAGGACTATTCGTCCTTGCTTTATGAGGTCCTCGACCTTCTTACCGGTCTCTATCACTTGAACAGTTGTTTCCGCAGCTTTCAGTTCATCTTCTGCAGCACGCAGATTGAACTGGCCTTGAATCAGTTGTTCGATCTCTGAACCGGCGTCGTGTACCTCACCGAGAAACAAGTGGAGAAAACCGATCAAGGTCTGCTTTCTTGTTTCAATTTGGCCACGGGTCTTTAGTTCCCCCCCCTTCTTCATCGGCATAGACTATGAGAGGGATTGCAGCACACAGATTGAACTGGCCATGAATCAGTTATTCGATCTCTGAACCGGCACTGTGTACCTCACCGAAAAACAAGTGGAGAAAACCGATCAAGGTCTGCTTTCTTGTTCCAATTTGGCCACGGGTCTTTAGTTCCCCCCCTTCTTCATCGGCATAGACTACGAGAGGGATAGGAAAGAAAAGAAGAGGAATGAACCGCGTCAAGATAGAGGCACGCAGACATTTCCAAAAAAAAATCATTTTTACCAGCGTGTAGATGCCGCACAATAAATAAAATCAGAAGACAATAATAAATTCCACGGCACACGCAACTCCTACAGCAAGAAGTGAGCAGATACAAAGAAGCAGGTTCTCAATTAATTTCTACGTCCTAACTTCGCTGTTTGTTCTTGTGATGACGTCCTACAGCTATAGGTACCGCAACCACGGCCAATGTGATCAAGACAACAGCACACTTGTAAGTATACACAGCAACCACAAACAATCAACAGATGAGTAAAGCCAACACAACCACACAATCAATGGTTAGCTTCTTTTATACCATCTGCAGAAGCAATGAAACCATCAGCAACAAGTGCACAGTCTTTGCATGCCACGTGTCACCCCCAGCATGCCAACGCAGCAGTTCTGCCATGTCAGCGTCCAGGACCAAAAATGTCTCCAAGGAGGGATGCCACGTCAACAGTGCAGGTCTGCCACACACTCAACACCGGCATGCCATGTCAGCGCATCAATAGCAGGCAAATAGCGACACAGGTACGTGCCACGTCAGACCATGCCCAACCACAACATCACATCAGCATTCCACATAAGCATTGCACCACATCAGTGGTCCTGATCTCTTTCTTAACCAGCGCCACGTCAATCTGTTGCCAACGAAGCTCTCGCTGGTAACTTGAAGTCTTCAGTGCAGCCACGTCATCATCTTCAAGGGACAGCTGCTCGCACGTGCAGTACTACAATGTCTAGACTTGCGGTATTACCGCGTGCATTAATAAACGCGTTTCATTTTGCACATGCGGCTCCCACTTACCGGGGTGCCACGTCAGCACCTAACATCACACAGCAGATTGCGATGAAGGAGTTTACTCTGATACCGAATTGTAATGAACCCAGTCTGGCGGATACTCATCAGTCCTCAAACATCAGCAGTCTCGGTATCTGCAGCATAGTCTCCAATTATCATGAAATGATATCTGAAACAGTATCTCATTACCATTAGACGAAGAGTGGAAGGGGAGTAGACAGAGGAGAAGATGGAAGAGATGATCAATGATCACACAATAATAATCCCATCAAACGCCACTTCTCCGGGCTTCTTCCCTCTCCACGTCAACAGCCAGTATATGATAACAAGTATAATAATCATGAACACACAGTAGTGCCACGTGGCACTCTCAGCTCGTGAAGACCATGAAGACTCAGCAGAATATAGTGACGACGTCGACCTCAGGTGAGTACATGATCCCAGTCATCCACAGACCCCTATCTTCCTCCTCCTCTCAACCAGTCACCTCATGTAGACAGCGTGGACAAGGCCACGTCAGCAGTTGAGACATGTGGCATGCGCCACATCATCAATGAAGACCAGTGGCATGCGCCACATCAGCAATGTAGATCTGTGGCATGTGCCACATCATCATGCAATGTAGACCATAGGCAGCACCACATCAGCATGCAATGTAGACCATAGGCAGCGCCACATCAGCATGCCTAGCGCATCATGTAGAACGCGCCAGCATGACGCCACAGTCCTCGCCGTTGTCCACAGTGCCTGCGCACAACCAGCGTCCAGCCAGCGTCTCGCCAACGTCAATGACAGCGTCTGGTCGAAGTCAGGCCAGCGTCCAAACAGCATAGCAAGACTGAATGTTGACCACCTCGAGGCCAGCCTTTAAGTAGCATTTGACGAGGCTGTCTGTCCTCGAGTCCTGTTCCCTCAGTCGTCCAGATTGTCTCACAGCTGAGGGCCCCGATTGAATACAGTTGCAGACTTCCCCTTGGACCTGATGCTGTCTGGGTACCTGCATACAAACAAGTGCGTGTGCTTGACCGGCGGCCTGGGCTGGGTACCTTTGGACTTTGACTGTTGGTGTCACGACAGTTGACGAAAGTCAATTGTCACACGTCCAGGCCTGGAATCCTCGTGTGGGGTATTTTTCCCCAGTTTTGGCTTGGGCTGAGGGCGGCCAAGTAGGCTCTCAGATATATAACGAGACATATGGTATGGGTTATTGCAGGAGTTTCTTTCGGTGCTAATTAAGCGCTGGTGTTCTGGGAAAGATCCGAAAAGAATTCAATCAAAGATAATTTTGTTTTTGATCGGTTTGCGGTGTGCGGTAAAATAGAATCATTGTTTCCTTTGGCTGTTGATCGTTGCCTGCAGCCTCCCTGAATCCCTATTGACACTAAGCATTAATCTGCCATCTGTCCTAACCCTTCTCTAATAAAACTGCCATTTATTTTTATTCTTCTGCAATTTTTTGTATTTTCAGCGAGAACTCGGGGTTTCTTTCCGTGCTAGTTAAGTGCTGGTGTTATGGGGAAGATCTGGAAAGGATTTAATCAAAGATAATTTTATTTTTGATCGGTTTGCGGCGTGCGGTAAAAGGGAATCATTGTTTGATTTTGCTGTTGATCGTTGCCTGCAGCTTCCCTGAATGCCTATTGACACTAAGCACTAATTTGCCATCTGTCCTAACCCTTCTCTAGTAATGAGTACAAGGTTACCTGTTGCAGCTTCGCCCGCAAAGAAATGAAGCGAACAGGGTGCAAATGAGGGTGGGTGTGGGTTTGTTGGTCTGGGTGTGGGTTCGGGTGGGGTCGGGGTGTTTTTTAGGCTCACCTGTGCACTGTTGTTGACACTGCTGATGGAATGCTGCTGCTGCTTTGTATGCCTTGAATATATTGTCACACTGTGAATCAGAGTGCGAAGGCGAAAAAAAGCAAAACAAAGAAAGGAGAAGAAGGAAGGAAGGAAAGCCCCACCTGTTCATCACCTCTTACTTACAAGGCCAGCCACGTGGATGACAGGTTGAGCGCTGGCTACCCCATCCCCGTGTGTCACAAGGACCCACTTGAATATATGTTTCTTTTTCCTTTTTTTTTCCTTTTTTGTCCTGTCAGAGACCTGATCACAGTTTGCATTCCTTTCATTTGAGGTTTGCTGGGTAGGTGGTGGTTCGGATTTCAACTCTCCTGTTGTGTGTGTGTCACACTTTGCATACCTGTCTCCCGCTCACCACAAATGTTCTTTCTAAGATGCCGGGAGATACAAATTTTGTGATTGTGGGGGGGGGAAGGGGGCACGCTGTGTAGATAGTTAGATTGGGCTCTCTCTCTCTCTCTCTCTCTCTCTCTCTCTCTCACACACACACACACACACACACACACACACAACACATGTTATTTCTTTTAAAGGTCTCGATGGACCACGGATCAGATATGAATCTGATCGGAGCAAATAATATACTTGATCATGGGGGGTGGCGTGGGGGGTGAGGTGGCACGTAATTAGTTAGGTTGGTCTCTCT